ATTATTATTATTATTATTATTATTATTATTATTATTATTATTATTATTATTATTATTATTATTATTATTATTATTATTATTATTATTATTTATTTATTTATTTATTTATTTATTTATTAAATAATTAATTATTTTATTTTTACAACGTGATTTTGTTTAATGGATTATTAGTTTTTTAACAAATAGATGTGAAAGAGTGTTAATAAATCAAACCTACTCGGACGTTATTGTCACAAGTATCGGATCTCCCCAGGGTTGTGTCCTTTCTCCAGTTCTTTACATCATCTATACGGACGACTGTCGCAGCAAACAAGAATATAGTTATCTCGTCAAGTTTGCTGATGACACTGTCTTGCTGTCTCTCCTCCGAGATTATTAGGAAGTCCATGATTCCGCTTTGAATGATTTCATCCAATTTTGCAAGAAATCGTATGTGGAACTAAGTGTGACCAAAACTAAGGTGATGATAGTGGACTTTAGAAGGGAGAAAGGACAAGACCCACGGGCTTCCAACATTAATGACGAACCAGTTGATATTGTCCAATCATTTAAATACCTAGAAACAATCTTTGAGGACAATCTCGGCTGGGGATTAAAAAATACTGAGTTAATAGCGAAACAGGGATATCAAAGACTTTACCTGTTAAGGAAGTTCAACCATTTTAATATTGATAAATTTATTCTTCGAAATTTTTATAATTCCTTTATAGAAATCGTTTTAACCTCTTCTTTTATTTGTTGGTTTGATAGTCTTACGGTTAAAGAAAGAAATTCGTTACAAAAAAAATCGTTAACTGAAGTTCCAAATTATTAGGTGATCAATTACGTAGCTTATCTTGTTTTTGTGACAAGCATATTTTAGAAAAAAGTAAAAGCATTTTAAAAAATGTAACTCATGCTATGTTCAGTGCGTTCGAGCTTTTGCCTCATGGTCGCCGTTTTCAATTCGTTCGTGCCCGTTGCCATTCGACTTTTAAACAATAACAAACTAAATTTGTAAGTGATTGTATTGTACTAAGATGTAACGCATTTTACGCTTGTAATACAAATTCCTCTGCATTTTATTGTATTTTATGACGTAATGCTTTTTTTAATCTTTTAAAATGTTTTTAGATTGTAATCCAGACCCTTTTTATTGAATTGCCCTTACATGGGATGAATAAAGATAACGATATATTGTATTGTATTGTAATATTATCATTATCTCTATTATCAATTTTATAATAATAATAATAATAATAGTAAATAAAATGAATAAATAAATAATAAATCAAAAATAATAACAATAATAATAATAATAATGTTAATATAATAATAATAATTATAATAATAACAAAACCAATAATAATAATAATAATAATAATTATTATTATTATTATTATTATTATTATTATTATTGTTATTATTATAATTATTAATATTATATTAACATTATTATTATTATTATTATTGTTATTATTTTATTTATTTTATTATTTTTATTATTATTATTATTTTTATTATTGGCTTTTCCCAGCAATAGCTGGAAAAGCAATTGTGTTGTTTTGATATTTTATCTTCTTTTTCTTGCATACTTTTTCCCTATTTTTTTATGTGTTTTTTTTTTTTTTTTCAGGCTAGCACGTTGGTCACTTTCCATGATTGGAACTTTCCATTCTCTGCCGAAGCATGGACTACATATCAAGGATGTGCCTCCTAATATTTGGTGTCAATCTAGGGTGGGGTTTGCATGTGAGGACCAATTAAAGTGATTTAAAGGCAAGCAGTCTACACCAGATATTTCAAAAACGCGTCAATTGACCTGAATAAAACTTTCTGGAAATGTTATCCAAATTAAAAGGAAGCAAATATTATGTGTTCTGGACAATCCAGTTAAGGGTGTAAATCTGAAGGTCATTTGTAATTTTTGTGACAATCCGGAGACGGGTGTGGATTAGAGGACCATTAAAAAAAAGTCCCAGACACGATATTTCGAAAATGGATCAACTTATCTAAATGACACATTAGAGGAAAGTTTAACCAAATTAAAAGGAAGAAATATATATGCGTTGAGGACGATCCTGTTTAGGATGTGAATTTGAGGGTGATTTAAAAAGCTTAAACATGTTGCACCCAGATTAAACTTAAAACTACCATGATATTCATAAACAATTTTTGCTTTCAGTCACTAAATCACTATGAACGGAAAATGAAATGGTGTATTATACAATGTTGGCTCATATAGCACGCAATAGTTATGAGTCACAATTTACCTGGCTATTGCCATTGCATCAATAGTTCGAATCCAACTAACGTTATTATTATTACTTTTGGTAAGGTTTTGGTCAGCTATTCAAAACAGCCATGGGTAAAATAAAAGGAAAATAATAATAAAATAGTAATAATAATAATAATAATTCCTGTAATATAATATTAATAATAAAATTAATAATAATAATAATAAAAATGGTAATAATAATAATAATAATAATAATAATAATAATAATAATAATAATATTGGGCGAAACACAATATAAAAGCAGTAGACATTCAAATAATTTAAAATTTAAAATACAGGCAAAATGATGATATAATGACATTAATTAAAAATAATATTAATGAAACAGTACAGAAGTAGTATAAGAATAATACAGACAAAAAAAAACACCGATATATATATATAATATATATAGGAAAATCAG